AGTATATGTGTCACATGCAGGGGTTCATTATGTGGGTTCAGGCTTGTGAGAGTGCATGGATGTATGCATGTATGTATGCATGCATGCCTGTGGGGGTAGCACAGGAGCCCCAGTTCCTCTACGGACCCATCTGTTTTGTACTCTTTGTCCTGTTAATTAATGGAATCAGAGGGGCTGCCTGCTGGGACGGCCCCACTGCACCGCTAGGCTGGACAGGCCCACTTTCTCATGGGCTCTCCCTGTATTACAAATTAATGTCTTTTATATCCTCCCTGTGCTTTTTGTATCTAGGCGTTTTCTTTCTATCTATCTATCTATCTATCTATCTATCTATCTATCTATCTATCGCCACTGACTTTATTCTATTTTTTATTTCTGTTTTCCAGTTGTAACTGGCGGACGTGCTGGGCCACGTGAGGTGACTATTGGTGGTAGATTAGTTCTCAAAAGCTAAACCACTAAAATCATATTGTAGGATCTGCTGTCACTTAGCTGCTTAGATACAGCCGAGGTTGGATGTCATGAAGCAGGACGTTAGTCAGACCACTTCGTGAACACTCAGTCATAACTCTCCTCCTACCAACCCAAGAGGGTTGATTTCTGTCTTCTTCCTGGACGGTCATTATGCCTATTTCTGAGTACAAAGAGTATATTTTTCTCCGGTCTGACTAAGTGTTACTTTGCAGAGCTGCTTCTCAAACGTTAAGCCTCTCTGTCCACCTATGTCTGAGTGTTTTACGAACAATGTCCTGGCTACGTCGTTTTACTCTTTGCTTTGTGGCCTGTCTCTTTACCTCGGCGCTAATCTGCCAGTCTGATAGATGCTTAGTTTTCATTAGATATTGTCTTTCTCTGGGGACAGTGAAATGTAGAAATTAGGCTTGATGTACTTTGGTTCTTTCCTGGAGTGGAATGGATTTTTTAACTGCATGGCATGACTGTAGATGTTGTAGCAGAATTTCAAGTTTTACATTTAGTCTAACTTAGTCTAGATTCTTACCTGAAAGCTGTAAAACAGAAGTTCTTTGCAAGTAGGTGTAGTATTGATGGATACTGTTACATGTTGTTATACCTGTACATGTTACATTTTCAGCCCATTTACAATTTCCTTCATTAGTGTATGACATTTATATTCCTGATTCTACAACACTGTCATATAATAGCAATTACATTATTTAATTGACATTTAATAGACATTGTGAAACAATATTTTTAAATAAAAATAAAAAAAGTTCTAAATGGAGTTTTGAAGAGACACTGTGAAGAACAACAGTATTCTGTATTTGTAAACAAATATCACATAGCCCTTCTTTTTCAATTAATTATGATTGAGTTTGATGCTTCTGTTTACTGTGTTGAGTGTGTCAGTACAATGTTATTCTTTTTAAGAAATCGAAACTTTAGGTACACCCACGTTTGTTGCATAAACTTACAACAATTTAAACAATTTTAAAACCTTGCATTTATAATCTCATCTTTAATAACCTTAGGACTGTGTTCTGGGAAAGAACAATATTTTATTTGGTGACGAATTACTTACAAAAGTAATTCTCCTTCATGGCTCAGCTTTGCTAAGCCAAACTAATCCTGGTACCCCCCACCTTCTGCCCACCGTCATCACCGCCACCCATTCCATTTTTTGGTTTCTAACACCACCAGATATTTACTGTGACCCAATAACCGAGAGGATTATTATTCTTCAACATATTTATTGAATTTCTACAACCTACACCTTTTAAGAAATTCTTCATCTCTTTATAAGATACTAGAAAGCACAGTCATTACAAAGCCTTGCATGTTTGTTCATTTGCACAGATATTTTTTGTGGGGTTGAATATATCGCTCTGGTTACTGCGAGGATTGGTACGTGACTGCAGCCTTGTGTCAGATGTTTGAGTTCTCTCACTGCTGTCACTTGCAGCTCGTGGTCTGTGTCTCTGCCACATAATCGCTTCAGGGCAGCTCCTGCTCTCTAGTCCTGTTAAAACAGTTAAAGGCAGGTGGGCTGACCTGAACAACGGCGGCTGACACTTCTTCCATTCATAGAGCAAACGGAACTGCCATGTACGTGTGTGCCATCCAAGGGACCTCACGATTCGATTTGATTACAATTCAGGATGCTACGATTCGATTATTCAACAATTATCATAATATTAATGATCAATGCATCTTTTTTTCCCCATTCAGAGTTTTTCCCTCCTCACTTTGTGGCTACTTTATAGTTTTTCACAAGGTATATTTGTTAGTATTCATTAATTAAGCTAACTAAACAAATGTGTCTCCATTATGTTTTATTCATGTCAAATCAACAAATGATCCAACAGGAACCATGGAACCAACAGGAAAAAAGTGTACCTGTAGCAACAGCCTATACAACAAAAAGCTGCTCTTATACACAACGAGCAAACTGCAAACTGTCAAAAGCAAACTTTTCCAAAAATAAAATTGAACCCTATATAATTGTAATTTGTAAAAAAAAAAATTTGGTCATTATTTTCAGCCAAAAAGTAAAGGCAAACAATAATTAGTTATGAGGATGTGTAGCAGCATGCTGGTGACTATGTCATTGTGTTGTGCTACAGAGGTCACTGCAGCTTCTTTACCCTCTGACGTACTGCAGCTTTTTTCTTCTTCTTATATTTAAGCCTTAAATAAATGCAGAATCTAATAGCAATAGCACAGGGTGACTGTTATGTGCAGAGCGAAAAAGAAACAGCTGCACCTGCACTTGTTATTTACAGTACTGTGTCTTTTGCTACCTCATCTGTTTGGTCTCTGTTGAAGGGTGAAAACCAAGAGGTACATACTGTACGTCACTGCGCTGCTAACTGCACAGCGTGAAGCCACACATATATTCAGTTACATTTGGCCCATTAAGCACAGATCCAGTCCGTAAACGCCACGTTGCCACTGTTTGTGTGTGCTCCGTTGTTGCACAGCTGTTGTCGATAGTCACCGGTGGCTTTGCGCGTCCCTGTCGCCATTGTCTTTGTGCTCGGACCAGCTGGAGGTGACATGACTCTTCACGTCTTTGTGTCCCACTTCAAGGTGCAGAGTCCTTCTGCCATCCTTTCCAAGGACGCCGCAGCTGCGTCTTAGTTACACAGAGCTGAGCAGCAGCAGCGGTAAATCTGTGGCACTTAAAAGGTCCTCTTAGGATATCTGGAGGTTTGTCATCAGTCACCGGGAGTCATAATAGGAAAGGGATGAAAGGATTGCTTGTATATTGAGTCAATGCCCTCCTTTGAATAGTGTATGTTGATCAGATTCTAAGTGGCCATTCCTGGCCATTTGATAGGCCCCTTTGAGTTGCCAATATCAATTCAACACCCCTGACATTGGCGATGTACAGCATGAGGGGTGAGGCTTCACACATCCAATTATTAGAACAAAGATGAAAGCATAAGTCCATAATACACTACAAGGTCCTGTGACCTAAAATCATCTCTCTTGTCATCTGAGGTGTGAGCAACACTAGATTCCACACAAATTTGAAATGCCATGGCTTTGCATATTTAGCATTATTAAAGGCCAGCTCCTTCAAAACTCATTTGCTTCCATGTTTATTTGTAACCTTGACCGCTGCTTAGACATTTCACTGTGGAGCAGTATGGATCATGCAAATTTGGAAAATCTAATGGCCACTGTTTGGATTAGCACCAAAAAAAAAAAAAAACCACCACATTTGTGTATCTAAATTATAGTCAGAATAATAAGTTCTCAGTCTGAATTTGACACTGTCTTGCTCGTGGCCAAACCACATTTAGTTATGTCTCAATTTTCTATGTATTAATTCACTTCCCGCTGTGTGTTTAGTTCTCTATGCATGTTTGTGTGACTAGTGTGTTTGGATTTTGCGGGGATTGCGTGTACAAGGGTCTACTATACATACCAGGGAAGATTTGCATAGGCTCTATATTTGGAGCCACAGGCCTTCAAATGGTTTAGACTTAAAGGCTCAGTGTTGCAACTAATTCTGGTTTGTTAACAGTGTGATAATTCACAGATGCCCACAGGGAAACTCACTTTGCTCTAGCACAGGATCAACTACTCACAAACCCAGAGCGGGCAGTGATTGAGTGTCTTTGTTAGAGAAAGAGTGAACCCTCAGGTCTCAGTAGACAGTACTTGATTTTCACTTTAACCCTTTCTAACTACGGCCACCTATGTTCTCATTACCTAACGTTTGATTTCACTTTGGCACTATCACTGTTGATGTGTGCTCAAAAGTCTGCATTTCTAAAAAGTGAAGCGTCAGGGAACAGAGTATTTACATGTAGTTTCATGTCTGCGTGTAGGGCTGACAAATAGTACTGCTCACAAATCCTTGATGCAGTCTGATTTGATATCTGATGTTGTTGTTGGACAGTAAACCAGATTAGACGTTAAACATAAGTGGAGTGTAGAGTGCAACGCTGAAAGCATAGGGTACATTTCTTTGTCTGATAATTCATATTTTTCCTGATACATACGCAGTATATTTTAATGCACAGCCCGTATAATTTATGCAGTTGGATGTGTTACAATGCTTTATGGTCATTTCGGTATTTCATTATCCCATAAAATGTACAAGTGTTGCCAAGTTTGTGTCAGAGCAGAGTTAGCAGCACTGGTACAGAAATTCATATGGAAAGAGAAGGAATATTTCTGTTACTTTGAATTTAAGATCCAAGTGTAAAATTCGTATTTGTTTTGACCTGGTGCAAAAATTGTTAGACTGTAGGGTTGACAAATAAATGGCAGTAAATACTAGCTATTAAAATCACAACTTCTGCTCTATTCTAATGTATGCTTTTTTAAATTTGTAATGACATAGTAATGCGATTATCACAGTTCATCACTCCCAGTGCAAACAGAAAATGAGAATCACATTAAGGCCTTATGAAGTATGGTTGTCATTATCAATGCTGTGTTTTCAATAATTCTTTTTGACTTGGTTTTTTTTTTTTTTTACATCTATGCTATTTTAACCCTTTCTTGTTTGATCTCTATTTTTACAGATTGACCCAAAAGTGGCGTTTCCTCGTCGAGCCCAGCCTAAGGTAAATATACCCTGAAGGTGAAAACGCAAAGTGAAGAATAGAGATGATGTCATGATTCAGCCCAGTACTTAGCCTCTGGTTAGCTGGGATTATAGTGGTGTGGAAGAGGTGCGGCAATATCGCTGTCCAGTCTGTCAGTGCGACCTCACACTCCAACTGTACCACATACCCCACCTCCGTCCTGGGACCTGGACTATGAGCAGCCAACATCTTCCACAGACACAAATAAACAAGCATTCTTGTTCATGTCCTTGCACGAATGCATCTGAGAATAATAACACATGCTCTTCTCACCTGTATACACACCCACACACACACATGCAAAACTTTTACCTGCAACAGACTGAAACACTTAAACTGAGATGGATCAGAGGAACTTAAAGCACAAACATTTGAGAAAAACACAAACAAAACAAACAGCAGGTCTCTTTATCACAGGCATCTACTCTGGTTAATGCAATTAGTGGTAAACGACCCCCCCCCACCTTCTTCTTCTCCTTTACTAGCTGGTGACCAGGACAAAGAAGATCTTTGTCGGAGGGCTGTCAGTCAATACCACCATTGAGGATGTGAAGCAATACTTTGACCAGTTTGGAAAGGTAAACTCACTTCTGGCCAAGTCTGTATGTTTTGATTACACCTTGCATCCAGCCTCTGTCTTTGGCTTTTCATGTTTTTTTTTCTTGTTGTTATCCCTGGGGTTTAATCATTGTGAGTTAACATGGCTACTATAGTGTTCTGTGTTGCTGTGCATTAACACATTACAAAAAAACAAAACACTAATTATGCTCAATTCTTAACCCCGATCAACACATTGCAACAACACATTACTCTTTTTGTTACTTACAACAATCAGTCTCCTTAAGATTTCAAATAGAGATATGCTAAACTGTGTTCGTCAGTGTGTGCTGCCCTTGATTCAATTTGCATACTGTATCCATTGCTTCAGTTTGCTTTTTTAAACCACTCTGTCTTTCATCCTTCGCATGTACAATTCTGGAGCAGAGATAAAATACACAGCTGAAGGCGGCGGAGCGTTCTCGAGAGGCCATTTTAAGTTAATAACTCTATAAAAGCTTGTTTCTGCTGTTCAAATATGTCAGCAAATATGTCAGTTATAATAGCAGTCAGTGGAGTTGGACATGGTTTGGTGAACTGTTTGTTGGCACAGCCTGCTCAGGGTTTCCCCGTGCTTTAAGTGAAAGTCATTTAGCATTGACACACTGCTGCAGTTAATTTAGGCAAGGTTCTTCAACACTTTAACCTAAAATCGAACACTGACTTCAGTAAAGTAGACGTTGTTGTTGCAGTAAAACCATTCAAAAATAAGCGCGGGACACAACTCAACATTCCTCTGTCTTCATGACGCTGTGGCTCGTTGACTCTAACGGACCTGATTTGTACTTTGTCTCTCATGAACCTCCTGGTTAGATTAAAAAAAAACACATTAGTCTGTGTTACAGTGTAACTGTAACTTCATCACTCAGGTTGGACATCTGTTCTCCGGCCAAAAATCAACTCAGTGGGGGGCCCCTGTAGGCGCGGGCCTCTGGGCGGTCGAACACACTCCCCTTTGTGATCTTCTCTTTCATTTTGCAGAGTTTGGATCTGCTTATGTTGGCTTTACTATAAAATTAGCTGCTGATAATTTAGTAAATTATTTATTTTCCAGGATCAATGTTATTTTTCCTCTAATTTGTCCAACACTCTCAGAAGTTTAATTATTTTCACAAGTTAATTTGCTCACATTTTAAAGAAGGACACAGACTAGTTCCTGGTGCTGTCCTCACGTTGAAGCTGACTGTGTTGCGGCCATTTCTGTTTGTGCAGTCATTTCTAATTAGACCCAATTTCATTAAAATCCATCAGGATATGTCCGCCAACCCACTGAATGCTATTGAGTATGACTGGAAAACAAGTAACTGTGGTTGAAACCCCCTTCTCTAATGTAGCTTACATAGATGAGAGTTTATTTCATGCCCACTGCCCGTGACATTTCCTAGAACAGATTTAGAGATGTCACTCTTTCACACAGTGTGATTTAGTCCTTGTCATTTAAGTCAAAAGGTACATAATGTGCTAAATTGTGGAAAGCAGTGGGAAAAAGGGCAGATGTTAACAGTAAAAGTCAACACTGTAAAAAGTAGTAAAAGAAAAGGAAATAACTTCTTGGGTGTTTGACAGTGAAATCATTAGTTTGTTACTTAATCTCTTTTGGTTTTTTTTTGCCACATTTCCGCTCAAATCTTGGGGATTTTAGCTTCTGTATTTTGTCCTCTTCTGCTGCTTTGAATGAAATTTGGTGAAAGGCAAACCCATGCTGTGGGGACAGATGAGTGGCCAGAGAGAGGGAGGAAGAAAAAAAAGCAGCAAGAGGTGGGAATGAGTTGTCGGAGTATTGGATGTGACTGTGAGGGAACACGTGCTCGTTAT